TGCTGCGCTGATGTCCCAAGACAACCCAAAGCAGCTATGYCGCTGCTTGACTTGGTCCGCTATGCCTGACTCTGCCTTGAGCTGCTCTGGTGCAACGCTACCCCAACTGGGGCCTTCCAGATGCAGCGCCCAACAAGGTGATGAAGACGGTGTCCACCATAGCCAGGTAAGTGCCCTACCACTCCTACCATGCCCCCTTCTTCCTCCTCCTCAAGATGGGGTGCTCGCCATAGCCAGGCTGAGCCCCAGCGGACCTTCACCTCCAAGCAGCGCTGCTTCAGTCCAGCGCTGCGCTCCAGCAGCATGTCGCCAATCCTTGCATACCGCAAATGAGGAGGAGCTCTCCGCTCTTCCTGAGGATATAGCGGCCTACCGGCCTCCTGGGCGGTGACTTCCTAGGCCAAGCGGCCTCCCAGCAACCGGTACCTCCTCCCTTTCGGAGGGAAACATCATTGCAGGCTCTGTTATTGTCCGCACAGGCCCTAGACCCGGGCTACTTGGACTGGTACCGGCCTACCTCTAACCTACCGCTACTGGGCCTCTAAAAATGCCAACTTTTAGTCTTCTTCTGCTCGGCCTACCTGCTACTTGAGCGTTTTTCCCCAGCTGCTCTAAGTGTCGTGGGCCTACCCCCCGCTACCGGCGTGTTTACCCCCCTGCAACCCTTCAAGTCACGGCCACAGGTAAGTACCGGCCCGGTGGGGCCTTGCAACCAACAAGTACCCTTGCGGGTCACACACACATACCCAACCGGCAAGCACACAGTCAGGCATGCAAACCAGCATGCACGCACACACACTCATCCGGCAAGCACTCAGACAGGCATGCAAACCAGCACGCACGCACACACACAGACTTGGAACCACAATAGAATGCGGGAATCACAGCAAGGCATTCATTCCAATGACAAATCCCATAAATCAGCAGTGTTCTCAGTCTGTGTTTTTGGCGGGTCATTACATTTCTATTTTGTAATCGGTTTGTACATCATGCTGCGGGAGGCAGTGTACAGTGTACAGTGTTGTGGCCTATGAGCGACAAGGAGGAAACTAGAGAGGACGACCGGATCCTGCGATCAGCGAGGCGCCAGATAGCCCACTTGGCATTAGGACCAGAGGGCGATAGACACCTCTTCCGCCAGTAGAGGGAAAGACAACAGCAGCAGCGGAGCGCTAGGGCCGTAGAGGCGAGCAGGGCATTCGCGAGCGAGGCCGCTACCTCAGCAGCCATGGCATCTGCCGCGCAGCAGAGCTCTCAAGCTAGTAGTTCAGGTTCTGTAAGGTCAACGGTCGCACAGACCATGAGTCAGTCCACTGGTGTTATGGCAAGCCAACCGATAGTTTTGACCCCCGAGGAGGTTGCCATACAGCGAGCAGCTATTCGCGAGGTACAGCAAAAGCAAGCGTTAGGAGAGATTAAGGCAGAGAAAGAGAAGATGATTGGAAGAAGAGCCAGGATGCAGCGGAGACAAGCGGATGTCGGTGAGTTAGAGGGCATGGATCCAACACACATGGATGCCATGTGAGGACCCTACGGTCCGTCCTGCTAGATGTAGTAGAAATGCAGGACCACCAGACGAGTCTGTCGCAAGGCATCCAGCAAAGTCTGGCCTTGTTGGTCGGGCGAGCGCAGGCAGCTCCATCGTCGTCCGGGCTTGGTGCCTGGCCCGTTGTACAGCCTCCTCCTTTTGTCCCACCGGTGACTCGGGTATCCCCATATGTCACTCCAGCATCGGTTCAAGCCGCTTCCCTAGGCATGTCGTTGAGACAGTGTTTTCCCAACTTCCGTCGCAGGTTGCCGTAAGCGGGCAGCCCGTTGTCTCGCAGCCTGCACAGCCACAGGGTACACAGCCCCAGCAGCAGCTAGTGCAGCAGCGTGTGCCTCGGGGTCCACAGCCCGGTATGGTGCAGGTACCGGGACAAACTCAATGGGTTCCAAAGACTGCCATCACCTCTCCCAAACCTTTTCCAGGGGACATGAGGGGTGAAGGCCTCGACACATGGTTGAGGTTAGTACCAGTATATGTCAAGTGTAAACTTACCTTTCCACATGAGGAAGTGTTTGTGGCTACCTCCTATTTAGAGGGGAGTGCAACAAGATGGTTTAGTGCAACTACAGGGATACGGTAATGACTTCCCCGCTTGGGCAGTCAACCAAAAATTGGACGACTTCCTCAAGCTGGTGGAAGACAAGTGGCATGATCCTCAGGAGGCTCAAAAAGCCAGTAATGTGATCCTGACTTTGAACAACAGACAGTTCAAGTTAGTAAGGGAGGCCACAAACGCTGTAGAGCGTTTGATTTTTCTTGGAGTGTGCTACGACCACCAGGTTTTACTCACCTCCTACCTGAGATGCTTTCCTTTGCCTCTCAGAAATCAGTTGGCTGAGGCCAACATCAATATGCACAACTTCCCCTCGTTCAGCAAGAAGGCCTTAGACCTAGAATCAAAGATAGGGCATGGTCAAACACCCACGACGGATGGAAGGAAGCAGTCACTACCTCCCAACTGGAAGGTGAAGGGTCGCATTATGTTCGTCGACAACGATGGTTCTACGATCGAGTTAGAAAACAACTTCCAGGCGGGAGTAGGTTCAGAGGCAGGCAATGCAGAGGCTTCAGGGGGKGGAGTAGTCGCAGCCTCAATACAGAAAGGTAAGGCGGCCGGTAGACGCCGTGGAGGCTCCCGGTATAGGAGTCAAGTTGACCCCAATGCTCCTCCATGGGAGAAAGCCGGTCTCACCGAGGACGTGTGGAGAGACCGGTACACTCGGCAGGCTTGTATCCGTTGTGGCCAATATGGCCATAATCAGTTCAAGTGTCATAATCAAAAGGTGACCGAGAAGATCCCGCCTACGATGGGGCAAGCGTTGGGATCCTCCACTCCCGTTGGTAGCAATCTGGCCAGCAGTTATGGCATTGCTCTGGGAAACACGCCCTCACCATCTCAAGAGATGACCTGCTAGGGTCGAGGTGGTGGACGCACCCTCACCATCTCGAGAGATGACCCAAGCTACTGACTCCGTTGTCGTCCCGCAACACATTCAGACCCATTAAGCCTCTGTTCAATGAGCTAGAGGAGGAGTGGTTCACATCAGACCCGCTAGCTTCTGGGACGGCATTGGCTAAAGCCCCTACGAGTGAGATGTTCGCGGCGAGGTAGTCATCGACAACCGCAAGGTCGGGGCCTATTATGACACTTGCTCGACGAGGAATTTTATCAGCCGCACGTGCGTTGAGAGACTGCGCTTACAGGGGCAAGCGCAACGCCCAAGTCGACCTGTGGAGTCGACCTGTGCCAACAAACAGGGCATGGTAGTCAATGACTACCTAAAAGACATTGAGTGTTTTTTTCCGTACGCGGAAGGGAATCTGAGGCATCGTGTCTCGTTCCTAGTCAGCGATGATCTCCCAATGGACATCCTGTTGCGTATGTACTATCTTTCAGTTGCAAAGCCCCAGTTTGACTGGGACCGAAAAGTGGTCAAGCACACTTTGCCAGGTGGGGGGACCGCCAAATTACGTAAGTTTAAGGCTAGTAGTTTGATCGAGTCCTAAGGATGCATGTGTGCGGCCGCGTTCTATAATTATTATAAGCAAAATTTGGAGGAGGGTATGTATCTAGTTTATGTCTCTGCAGCAGGCGAGCCTGTGAAAATGCCGTCGGAGATAGAGGGAGTAGTCGCTAAGTACCCTAATCTATTCGAAGAGCCGAAAGGGGTTGTCGAGAGGGACGTCGTCCACACGATAGAGATTATCCCAGGGTCTAGCATCCCGAAGGGTAGGATCTATCGGATGTCTCCAGGCGAGCTGGATGAGCTTCGCCGGCAACTCAAGGAACTCATAGAGAAGGGTTGGATCCGGCCGAGTGTCTCCCCTTATGGATCTCCAGTCCTATTCGTACCAAAGAAGGGGGGGACCCTGAGGATGTGCATTGATTATAGGGGCCTCAATGCCATCACAGTCAAGAACCGAGAGCCCCTACCGCGCATCGACGACTTGCTGGACCGAGTGCAAGGGTGTCGGTACTTCAGTAAGATAGAACTGAAGTTCGGGTACCATCAGATTGCAATACGGTCCGAGGATCAACACAAAACCGCATTTCAGACCAGGTACGGTCTGTACGAGTTTGTGGTGATGCCTTTCGGCCTTCACAATGCTCCTGGCACCTTTCAGCTCGCGATGAATCGGATCTTTCATGACTACTTGGATAAGTTTGTCATCGTGTACCTTGATGACATATTATCTTCAGTTAGGATTGTCGAGGAACATGTTTGCCACTTAGATAAAGTCCTTAGTCTCCTTCAACGGCACAAGTTCAAGATCAATGGCGAGAAGTGTGAGTTTGGGCGCACCCGGATCTAGTACTTCAGTCATGAGATTTCCGCAGAGGGATTAAAGCCCGATGACGTGAAGGTGGCCAGCATTTGTGTCTGGCCGCGTCCTTAGTTTGTGACTGAGATGAGGTCCTTCTTAGGAATGACCGGCTTCTATCGCAACTTTGTGAAAAACTATAGCATAGTGGCCGCACCTTTGATGGACCCGACATGCCTTGACACCCCATGTGAGTGGACAAACAGGTGTGAGGTTGCTTTCAGACATCTGAAGCATGCTCAGACACTCTATGAGGTCTTGAAACTTCCTCATCCTGACAAGCCGTTTATAGTAACCACGGATGATAGTCAATATGGCATAGGTGTCGTGCTCGCGCAGCAAGAGGGGCCAAACTTGAGGCTAGTGGAGTACATGTCCCAAAAGATGCCCTCTCAAAAGTTGGCTCAGTCCACCTATGAGGAGTTGTACGCGATCTACAAAGCGCTAACCCATTGGAGGCACGGCCTCCTTGGGCGTTTTTTCTACGTCAGGACTGATCATCAGACCTTGAAGTGGATGAGAACTCAACCTGTGCTCTCTTATGCGCTGAAACGCTGGATCGAAGTTATTGAGCAATATGACTTCGAGCCCCAGTACCTCAAAGGTGAGTACAACAAAGTTGTTGATGCGTTATCGCGTAGGCCAGATTTCTCTGGGCGGTGATCACTGAGTTTGGGCTGCCGGACGATGTTACTCGCTATTTGGTGGAAGCCTATCGCGAGGACCCGTTTATCGCCGAGATCATACACAGACTCCAGGCGAAGGACAAAGCGACTTCAGCCGAGTTTGAGTTGGTCAACGACTTGTTGTTCCTTGAGAAGGCCGGGAATAAGCATCTGTGTGTGCCCAATCGGGAGTCTTTGCGTAGTTTATTTCTAGGTGAATGTCGCGATGCCACAAGACATTTTGGTTATAAAAAGATTGCAGCCAACTTGCTGCAGCACTTCTGGTGGCCCACAATGATGAGAGACGCCAAGCTGTACGTGGAAACCTGTCAAGTATGTCAGAGAGACAAGCCATGTACACAAGCCACTCTTGGGCTTCTCAAGCCCCTTCCGATACCGAAAAGGTCCGGTGAGAGTCTGTCCATGGACTTCATGGATACTCGTTTGTACTTTGTGAGATTACTATAGAGTTCTCACTTTTCTCCTCAATTATCTCGTCTCTGTCTCGAGTCAGTCAGTTCTGCTTCGTTTGCATTGACCTTCTTTGATGATTATGCTTCTTGAAGATCTTGTCACAGTTCTCAAAACTAGCAAATTGGCAAAATTGACACATGCATGGCGCATCCAAAATTTCATGATTATTAATTACATAATCCTTGTTGTTCCGAATCAAAATAAAAGATAGACCGGGGACCGGCGAAGACCGCAATTGAAGGGTCTCGCTCGAAGCCGGACGCAGACAACAAGAAGGGATTTGATTTAATTAATTTATTTTATTTATTGCAAACGACATCCAAACCCTGCGTCATAGCCTGTTGGCTTTCTGGTCGCCAGAAGTGGCCCGATCAGAAGAAGTGCGACACCACGCAGTTTCATACTAAGTCTCGTGCGTGTCACCTAACTGATTTCCGCGTCGGAAGGTTATCAGTTAACTAAAGAAAGTAGGAGTGTTGTTGTGTTGTTTGAGTGTGTTTTTAATTTTATGTTTTAAAGCGTGGTGTAACGTGTGCTGAGTGGGATGCATCCTAGTCGACCGACGACGAGTCGCGCTTGGGACTTCAGCCCCCCAATGTGTCAATTCGCGTGAGGGTCCGATAGAGGCGTAGGACCGCGCATACCCCCTATGCTACAGCGTACGAGAAACGCCCTCGGCTGGCCCACCTTTGTGATTGCAACTGATTAGCTTTCATACTGTGGACTGGTAGCTCAACGGGGATATGCACACGTTGAAATCATTCAATTTCTCAGTCTTCTCGACTCCTCCGCTGCGCCTCTCACGTACAAGGCTCGCGACGTTTGATGAAGTTGAGCGCGAGCTGCCCGCATCCCCGTATGCCATATCAGCCCACTTGCACGCTATGGGAAAGAGGCAGAGTGAAGGAAGACGTGGCAAACACAAGGAAGAGAGGAGCAGAAAAGGAAAATCGATAGGCAGAGGGAGAAAAAATAAAAATAAAAAAAGTGATACAAACATCTTCTTTCTTTTACTTCATTTTTCTTTCTTTCACACTTTTGCAGTTTTACTGAAGAGTCTACCACGTGCACTTTTCAGCGCACCTGCACTTCTTTCTTCACTTTTTATTCTCATTTTCACCCTTCTGACTTTTCTTTGAGGGTGTTAGGGTGCAGGGCACAAACAAAGTAAAATAACACAAACTCATGTTCTTCTTTTACTCTGCATCCTTCACTGTTTTGCAGTTTGAGTGAAGGGTTTCCCACCTTTGCACATTCTTGGACACTCTTTTCAGTGCACCTGCACATTTTTGTCAGGGTGCAAGGTACATCTAGGTAAGACCCTCACGACGGATAGGACAACTATCCTAAGGATGGGTGATGGTAGCAGCCCTCCCACTGACCTATAGGACGAAAACCATTCAGGTAAGCAACTTTGTCACAGCAGAAGCCACGACGGCTAGCATCAACCATACCTCTGAACCATGCACGGCAGAGGCCATGCTGGTTGCAGGCCATGACGATTGTGGGACGTTCACCATCACAGATAAGTGCACATTCGCTATAGCGCCCATAGGCATAGATGGGACATACTGCATCTAGATGCAGAGGATGTTCACAATCCGGATACAGGTGGCATCCCTGCCGACAGCGGGCCTGAAAAATTATATCGTTGTAGTGATGTCGACAAAGTCGATGCTTTCCACAACCAAGTGTAACTGTGTCAGTGATCTCACAAAGGAAGTTACAAGGTGTTAGTGCAGCATGTGGGGGAATGAAGACTAAAGCGGCCACGGTGACAGACATGGAGGTAGGCACAGAGACAGACACAGAAACAGGTATGCAGACAAGTGCGAAGGCAGGTACACAGACAGGTGCAGAGGCGGGGACGGAAGTCCACAAGATACCCATAGGGTCAGTAACCTGAAAGGAGACAGACACAGAAACAGGCATAGAGACAGGTACGGAGGCAGGCACAAAGATAGCCGTAGAGGCGGGGATGGAAGTACACGAGGTACCCACAGGGTCAATGACCTGGAACAGTTGCAGGTTAGGGTAATTACGCACGAGATCACAGATGGGAGTAATAGTTTTGCACCATAGCACCGTCGTTCCATAATTCCCAAGAACCAAAGGCACGAACAAGGTCGGTATAGAGGCTAGGAGTATGTAGAATATAGGCACAAACGTTCGAATAGTGGTTCGGGTCGCCACCCAAAGGGCCACGTTGCATATCAAATCGACGCCCTATGAAAGCAGTCTCCAAAACAGAGACATTGAATCCCTCATGTCGAATGTAATTACTATCCTGTGGGGGATACAGAGTCGTGTTATCGCCATATAACTCACGTTCCTGAGCATTAAGATCGGAAGCAATGGCCAAGAAATCAGAGTGAGTATATGGTTCTCGACAATAGGCTTGTAGGCAGATGTTAGTCGCAGCGAGGCCACAGAAATTCGGTGGAGGCCGGTCAGGCGGATTTTCTACAAAATCTCCTACAGTCCCCTTGCCAAGTTCATCCTCAGATGATTTGCCGCGTTGCAGAAAGGTCTGCAGTCAAAGAGCGTTGCAGGCGTGATAAGGATGCTTGGGGCGGCAAAAGACGGGGACGGGATGTTGGGGAGGGCCGTGGTGGGGAGAATGAACGGCTTCTTCTTCGTCCAAGAACAGAGATGGAGGAAAGGGGAGTAAGCTGAGGTTGGGAAGTAGGTCGAAGTCGGCGTCTAGGACGACAAAGTAGGCTTTCTGCAGGGGCAGAACATGATGACGGAGTCTGTGTGGACGAAGTGGTTTGTGGATTAGGAAAGGGGGCAACGGATAAAGACAAAACCAGGGGAGGTAGGAATGGTGAAGACAGGGGTGGTAGAGTAGTCGGAAGGTGGGTAACAGACGGCGATAAAACCAGGGGAAATAAAGGAGGTGAAGACGGGGGGGATGAAGTCAGGGGTGGTGAAGTGGCTGAAGCAGAGACAGGGGGGGCAGTTGTAGGTGAGACCCGAAGAGGGAACTCTGCAGGTGGTGATGCAGGCATGGCCACGGATGCCATGGAGGAACGCATCGAGACCAAGGGAGACACAACAGATGCGGTGGTCATGGATGCCATGGAGGAACACGCCGAGACCAAGGGCGACACAACGGCTGTGGTGGCCACGGATGCCATGGAGGAACATACCGAGACCAAGGGCGACATAGCAGGTGCGGGTCGAGTTGCTCCCGAGGAATCAATCGTAGAAGCAACCAAGGCCGATGAGGAAGAGGCTGTGAACCGAAAAGGGGCAGCCAGGGTCACAAACGGCATGGAAGGGGTTACTAAGACTAATGAGGACGCAAGTGCGGCAGACGCAGGTAATGAAGAAGAGGCTGTGATAGGTGTGACAGGCACCGATAATGAAGAAGGGGCTGTGACAGGCGTAGTCCGAGGACAGTGTGTAGATACCCGAGAAAGCGGGTGATGAATAGACCATCGAAGCATGCTGCGGAACCAGCTGGAGAGGCGGGTCACATGCGCAGGGTACCTGTGGTGACGTTTACGAATATAGGAAGTCCATCCTTTCGCAAGCGTTGTTGGAGAGTGCCCGCGAAAAAGCATGCGGCGTGTGAGCATTGCTGCTGCAGTTTTGAAATCATACCAGTTGTTGCAGACATACTCAAACCTAGTAAGCTGGCTTGTAAACATTCCCGCCGGCTGGTGTGCAGGGACGTTAGATGTAGCACTAGGATAACGAATAACTGGGAAATTCCATTCAGCTGCTTTGTCAAAGACACTCATACGCAGGGAGCCTTCAGGGCGGACTTGGAGGCATGCACCCAAGAATGTGCAAGAGCCATCAGGCGTTGTGGTCTCCTTCCATTCGAGGCCTAGTACTCTGATGGTGGTGGCAGGTGTCCCCATGAGAGAACATCATTGATCAAGTGGTATGTGAACGAATTCCGTTGAGCTATGCGAAGATCGCGCCGCTGGAGGTCATCAACAAATCGAGCCTCATCCCAATACAACGTCAAATTAGCTATCTCCGAACCAAAGTTAGTCCCCATCGGGATGCCAATCGACTGATGTCGCAAGGTGTCGTCCACTGCATAAAGATACGTGTTTGTGACAATTAAATGGAGAAGTTCACAAATTTGGGAAACGGTCAAGGTGTTTGGTCCCGTATGAACCATCCACTCCCCTTCACGGGGCACTTTAACAATCATGTTAAGGGTAGGAGGATGTGTATGTTGTTGTAAGGCATATGTATAGGCTTCCTCAACCGCTTTTCATACATTATGACAAATACGGTCATGAGGGAGATTGGTATACATAGTTGTGAAATCAACAGTGCGAGGAGCATGGTCACGAAGAGGAATTACGTTTGAGATCAAGCATCACCTCTCAGCGCTTTGCACGATCCAACACCGTCTCTGCGCTTTGCACGATCCAACACCGTCTCACACCACTTTGCTGATACAACAGATTATCCTTCTCACGAAGAGTTTCAAAGACTCCTTGTAGTGCAACCCTGAGGCGGGTAGAAGCGACGGTAGTACTGGCCAAGGGTTTGTCGGGAGGTCGGTGGCGGACTGCATGGACAGATGGCGCAGTTGATCGAGATCGCTGCGGTAGGGAAAGATTATTTCGCTTTATGACGCTGACAATACCACGAAGCCCAGGGGGTGATTTGTGCGCTTTAAGTGCATAGCACAGATATCGCATCGTGTCTTTGTGTGTATATCCCCACCGATGATTCCAGAGCGCATGATATTCGAGAATATTTGCGATAGAGTCAAGAGGCACAACATAGGTAGGGTTGTCCAAATGAGCAGACAGATGAGACAGGTACCAATTTTTACAACAGATTGCCAAGATATGTGAGGTCTTGTCGACAGGAACAATAGCAGTGTTGTTGAAGGTGTCTCAAAGCCCTGTACACTGAGTGAAAGGAGTGTGGTTGTCGTGTGATAGTGTGGGAGGATTAGATGTTGCTCTGGCAACGTGTGAGAACGGTTGAGCGCCACTGCTGCAATTTGTTCAGAGCGGCCGCCCGAAGCTGCTTGGAGACCGACCTCAGGTATTTAGCAATATACTTGTCAAGGTCGCCGACTAAGTGTGAGCACTCAAGAAACACTTTCTGACATTGACAGTCTGAGGGTTCAGGCAGCGAGATCCCACGTATGACACTAAGCGCAACTTTCACGAAATTAGAGAATTGGACGCGAGTTGGCGGCAACAGCTTATCACAGATACACAGGTGTGCTACGGCATCAGGGTCAGGGTGCAAGTGGAGCACTTGGGATGCATGCAGGGCTTGTCACTTTAAGGTCAGTGAAGAATGCAGTAAAAGAACAACATAAGTTTGTGTCATTTTACTTTGTTTTGTACCCTGCACCCTAACAGCCTCAAAGGAAAAGTCCGAAGGGCGAAAATGAGAACGAAAAATAAAGAAGGAAGTGCAGGTATGCTGAAAAGCGAACGTGGTAGACTCTTCACCAAAACTGCAAAACTGTAAAAGAAAGAAGAATGCAGTAAAAGAAAGAAGATGTTTGTGTGAACATTTTTTTTTTTTCTCTCCCTTTGCCTATTGGTTTTCCTTTTCTGCTCCTCTTCCTTGTGTTTAACACCTCTTCCTTCACTCTGCCTCTTTCCCATTCCGTGCAAGTGGGTTGTTATGGCATACGGGGATGGGGGCAGCTCGCGCTCAACTTCATCAACGTGGCGAGCCTTGTACGTTAGAGGCACGGTGAAGGAGGCGTTGAGAAGACAAAGAAACTGAATGATTTCAATGTATCTTTGTTTTTTATTTTTATCCCTTATTCAATGTAAATTGTTTTTGTAAAACACTGAAAGAAATAAGAATACAGTGAAACAAAGAATAAGAGGGCAATGACAAACTGAATGATTTCAATGTGTCTTTGTTTTTTATTTTTATCCTTTATACAGTGTATTTTTTTTTTGTAAAACAATGAAAGAAATAAAAACAAAGAATAAGAGGACATTGTTTTATGTCATTCTGATTTGTCTGTCTCTTTGTTTGTCTGTCCTTTCATTTTTCTTTTCTTCGCTCATCTTATTTGTTATTCGACTTCACTTGCTTATGCTCTTAGTCAATAGTTATGTGATAATTTATTTATTTATTTATTTTTGTGCCCTTCATTGTTCCTGACACGGTTAATCCGCGAGGTTTAAGAAGGTGATCCTCTCCACCCGGCTGGTAGCCGGGCAAAACAATAAAAACAACAACAATACATGGAGCAAGAACATGAGCAACAACTACAACAACACAAAGCACCACACAAAACAACAAGAACAACAACAACAATTACACAAATAAAATTAAAAAAAAACAATAACCCACACCCATGCTGTCACGGCTCAGCCTCCTGATGAGCCAGTGTGAATCTGGCGAAACAGCATGTCCATCCAAACCCCAACCCTCCCTCCCACTAATGTCAGGGCAGCGTGAAAACGATCCCCCGTTCGTAACAACTAACACCACCACCAGCATCATTAATAACAACATCACGAAGAAGAAGCAATCAACGACAACAACCGCTATAACAACCACAACATAAACAACAATTACAACAACAAGAATCACAAAAAAAAAAAAAAAAAACTTGGACATGTTGTCGCAGTTCAGCCTCCTGATGAGCCAGTCTGAATCTCGCAAAACAGCATGTTCATTCGTGCCCAAGCCCTCCCTCCCACCAATGTCAAGGCACCGTGAAAACGATCTAACACCACCACCAGCATCATCAATAACAACAACACGAAGAAGAAGCAATCAACAACAACAACCAAAACAACAACAACAACCACCACCACAGCATGATCAACAAACACAACAACAAGTAATAAAAAATATATATATATATATATTGGACATGCTGTCGCAGCTCAGCCTCCTGATGAGCCAACGTGAATCTGGCGAAACAGCATGTCCGTCCTCCTTCTAAACCCTTCTAATACCTACACCACTTGCAGAAGGACATGTGCAGCAGTAGTTCCAATCTTGGAAAAGGTACACCAACAACACAAAGAAACACAAGGTCGGGACGGAATGTATCCTTTCTATGTGAATTGTTCTTCCGTATTTGTGTGTACGTGACACAGTGTGTGTGCGTGTTCGTCGCTGCTGCATTCGTGTTTGTGTGTTAAAATATCACCACAACTGTGTGTGTTCTGGTGGCAATACAACCCATAGTACCACTTCTGGCAATCCCAGCAGCATGATGAGTGGCACCATCAGGCCATTGCAGTACTGGTACCAGAGCGAGCGGCATAGTACCACTTCTGGCAATCCCAGCAGCATGATGAGTGGCACCATCAGGCCATTGCAGTACTGGTACCAGAGCGAGCGGAATTCAAATATTCGCATTGGTATACTGTGATTGTAGCATTGGTACCGGTACCACGGGGATCGTAGCACCGGTAGTAGTGCAAGTACGCCCATTCCCGACATAGTACTGTTAGCAACAGTGCCCCCATACGGCAAATGTCACAATGCATTTCTTTATCATTATTAGCACCAAATGTTGCAGTTTTTATGGACAGACTAGACAGTATTCTCAAATAACACACACCCCTAGAACCTCGACTTCCAAAAACGATCAGCGGGCGCTAACTATGAAGGGTCATACAGGTGGTGTAATTCAGCAATCCTGCAGAGACCGTGGATGTCATGCAGAACATGAAGGCATCCAAGACACGAAAAGACACAAAACTAGACACAAAACTGCCCCTCTTTATTTTGTGACAAAAGAAATCTGCTTTGGATAGCCTGCATGATATACTGAAGTGTTGGTGCACAACCCAAAGAGAAACAGGATGACGAAGAGGATGATTATCCTCACGGATCTGGATCATGGCGCCAATAGCATGCATTGAGGTTTTTTTTAGCACAAAGGATGTCCACATCCTGGATAAGGCAACGGACGAAGTGCAATGTCTCTGAAATGCAAACCAATAACAATTTCACAACAAATCCTGTGAAATTGAAATTGCGCAATGCTCCATCATGAAGTCCATTCGGCAGAGAGAAAGAGAGAGAGAGAGAGAGAGAGAGAGAGAGAGAGAGAGAGAGAAAGAGAGAGAGAAAGAGAGAGGGAGAGAGAGAGAGAGAGAGAGGTTACAATTCAGGGAGACCGGGAGGCAGATGACATACCACAACCGACACATACAAAAAAAAAAACAGCATTAATGGCAGCACATGTTTGCATTGGCATCGATAATCCGCAATCCGAACAAAAAATTGAACTCCTACCACAAAATGTACCAATTGCAGTTTGGTGCTAGTACCTACTCTCTCTCTCTCTCTCTCTCTCACACACACACACACACACACACACACATTGGACGTATTCTTCCTACACCATCAGCCCCCCTCCCTCCCCGTTGTCGTCGTCGTACTCTCGACTTGGTTTGAAGCCAGTGTACGGCACGTCATCGGGATTAGGTCATCTCAGCATCACTGCCTCCACAATAAGTCTGGAAGTTCGCCCCTCTCACAATACCCTAGTATTTTGGCCATTTCTTTGTAAGCCCTCCAACAGTTCC